AAAAAAAAAAAGCAATTCTGGAATACTACCAACAATGGCTATTCAAATTCAGTGAAAATTTTTAAAACAGCTTTATCGAGAGATAATTAACATGCAAGAACTGTAAAGATTTAAAGTGTGCAGTTGGTAAGTTTTGACACATATACACCTGTGAAACCATCACTACTATCAAGATATTGAACGTACCCATCACTCCGAAAGGTGGTGTCCTTGATAATTGCCTACTTTTTCTCCTCCTATCAGTGGAAATTTTAAAGGAGTATATTAAATATAGAAATATGGAGTAGCAAGGTGTTCGGAGCAAAACTTAGTCGGTGGAAGCTGTGTTGGGGATATGTTTGTGCTCGACATGGATTAGTACCTGTTTCACTGGCTGCTGGCATTTCTGGTGAATGGAAGACCAGAGCTGGACTTCAGCCCTCAGCACTGCTTCTGGATTTGAGCCTAGCGTGAGCCTCTGGTGTGGTATGTGTCGGGAGGTGGTGGGGTGGGGTAAGGTGTGTGTATGTGATGCGTGCGTGGTATGGAGTGCATGTGCGTGTGCGTGTGTGTGTGTGTGTGTTTGTGAGAGCGAGCTATGGCCTGCAGTAGAGGCTCCAGTTAGCTCTGGTTATCCCTTTACCTGTTTCTCTCCCCGGTCAGGGTCCATGCACAGCCGTAACTGGATAGACTGCATTTCTCTGTGTCACCTTACCGTCTCAGCGGTTTGTGGTAGATTTTAAATGAGTCATGCAACACATGACTGAGTGTGGGTGTTGACTTTTACCTCCCCCCTAGAGTGCTGGCAAGCCATCTGTGGGGACATTCAGAAAAGATTTTGGTTGGAACTTATATAACAGATGCAGTGGCTGTGGTATTTAGCGAGGCTAAGGAGGGAGCAAAATGGAAAGGGTGTGTTTAATTTAACATCTTGTAGAATAGAGCCTGTCATATGTAACTTTCACAGTGAGAACTCTTCAGCTCTGGACTCTGATTTACAAATTTGTTCTTGCTGTGCCAGATTTTTTATTGCGAGAGATCACCAAGTCCTCCCAAGGGCGTTTAGCAATGTGGAGCTTTGCTGTATAGTTAGCGCAGGTGAGAGGGTATCTTGCAGCGCTCAGAGAGAGAGCGCCAGCAGCACACACACAGAACACTGGCATCATGTCACATGGAGAAAAGGGAGGTGGGACTCAGAAGTCACTGGGCCTCCTTTCAGAGTGGGGAAGAAGAGAACGAGCTGGAAACCACTGAAGCTGCATGTGGAGGGTGACATCAGAGGCCTTGGTATATGTTTCTCCTCGCTGAGCACATGTTTCTCTTTTTGTTGTTGCCATAAAGTCTGCTCCCACCCACACCACAGCTGGTCTGACTTAGAGCGCTTGCAGACGTGACCTAGCCTGACTGAGTGGTTAATAGCCTTTAAACCTCTGACATTCCTGACATTGTCTCCTTGTCCAAGGATGAGGAGCAAGGAATCACCTTCAGGGACAAGTCTGGTAGGAGTTAATTGAATTTTGGGGGTCACTCATAAGTCTTCATGTAAGAGAACTGCATTGCCTGTGGCTTTAATTCTCTATTATATCTTGTTTTCCATTCATTCTTTTAACAACTATGTACTAATGGCCTCACATGTGGCAAGCTTTGTGCTAAACCTTGGGAATAAAACAGAGAACAGAACACAGTCCTGCCCTCTGGGAGCTCGTAGTCTTTTAGTGGAGACTGACCCTTATAAGCAGAATATAACCTGAGTGTTCACATGCTTCATAGTCAGAGCCAGTTTTCAAAGAAAGAAGTGAGTATTAGATGTGGTGCTTACAGAGAGCACTGTGTGGGGATCAGAAGGCCTGGTTCTGGTCCTGTCTGCCGCTGGCAGTTGGATGACCCTGGATGAGGCTTTTTCTTTGGCCTCAGTTCCTGCTTCCATAAAATCTCCATGATTCCTACCCCTCTATCATCATTAAGAGTTTCTGATTTTAGAAACTGTGTAGTGAGCAGGAATAATACAACTTCAGATCAGAACACAAGGCTTTGGGGTTTTATGACTAGAGTAGAACATAGGATTCAATTTCCATCCATTGTGGTTACTCAGAGAGTGGGAGCCCCAGTCACAAATGCTCTTTCTCCCTCTACCAGGGAATTAACCAGTGTTAATTCTCCATTAACACTTCCGGTGGCAGCTGCATGGGGAGGGCTGATGCTTCCTCACAGAATCCTGTTCGTGAACCACAAGGCTGTATTTCACATGACTGTTCCCAAGTAACTTTTTACATAGTTCCTAGCTCTTTTATGACATACCATTTTGTCTCATCCTCATACTTATTCCCAATTGCAAATTTTGAAAAACTGTCTTTCAAAAATAACTTCATTTAAGTTTCTTCCACAAGGCCTGAGTTTTTTTGGCATAGCTACTCCTAAATCATCCATTCTTCCTTCCATTCGTCCATTCAACAAAAAAGTTTTTGCTCAGCCCTAGAGAGAAATATAACGTGGCCCTTGGAATTCACAACTTATTGGGGAAAACAGATTTGTAAATAAGTAGCCACATCCAGCCCTGTGTGTGGAGTGGTGTTCTCGCAGCCCTTTGCCAGTTGAGGCTGGCTGGCACTTACAAGAGGAAGTGGATTTAAGAGAGGGAGTATTTTTAGAGTTGTAGAAGCACTTACACAATTTGTTGCAAAAGGAAAGACTCCTCTTTTACACAGAACATTTTTAACCAGCTGTTAATTTGTTGGGGAAACTGCATATTTAACTTACCTAAGTTTAATGCTACATGCTCAGCAAAGAAAGAGAAAAGAAGGAAAAGCAACCCCATGAGAGTACAAGGCAATTCTGCCTGCCGTTCCGTTCACTGCCATGTTTCCTGGACTGCACTTGAGAAGGAATGGGGAGTCAGATGGGCCATCAGTTGATCTTGGGTTCCATGTGTCCATATGTCTCTCAGAGTACGTATGTCCTGCTATACTGTATTTAGTGTACAAAAAGGGCATCTTTCTTTTTTTTTTTGGTAAGATACAGCCCCAAAATACAAGCCAATTATTTTATTTGCCCTTAGTCTCCAGATTACATCCTCCTTAGAAATTTTCAATGGCAATTTTTTAAATAGACATATAGAAAATTGCACAATCTTTTCACAAACTGAATACACTTAAGTATCTAGCACCCAGGTAAAACAAACAAACATTACTAGCCACCCAGAAGCCCCTATCTAATACTGTCCCTCAAGGGTAACCAGTAGTTTTGCCTGCTTTTGAAGTTCACATAAATAGAATCATACAGTATCTGTGCCTTTTGTGTCTGGCTTTTTTGGGGACAATTTTATATTTATGAGATTCATCTGTGTCATGGCATGTAGTCATATTTCATTCTTTTTCATTACTGTATAGTATTATGTGAACATACCACAATTTTAAAATGAAACCTATTCTACTTTTGATAGGCGTTTGGGTAGTTGTTACAGATAGTGTTGCTTTAAACATCTCTGTACCTGTCTTCTGGCCAGTACACGTGTCTTTTGCATATAATCTTTGGGTGAATTGATAGGTCTAAGGTTGTCCTAAGCTTTGGTAGATACTGCCTCATGGTTTTCTCAAGGGTTGTACCAATTTATAATTCCAGCAGCAGAGTACGAGGGCCCCATTGCTCCATATCATTTTTAACACCTCGTATTTTTAGTCTTTTTTTTTTCCTTTCTATTCTGATGGGAAATTTTAGCTTGATTTTCATTTCATTCACTGTCTTGAGAACACAATCCACACAAAAGATGTTATTCTCTCATAGTGTAGTTTACCCTCAGTCGGGTGATTCCTGGAGAATGTGCTTGCTGAATTGTTTTTGAAGGAAGATAAGGAGCTAGCCAGGGGAAGAGAAGAGAGAAGAGCCATTAAGCTAAGGAACGTTATTTTAGGCATGTGGAAAGGCCCAAAGTCTGGAGCACATGGCAAAATTTGAGGAGCTGCATGTCTGAAGCTGAGGGTGGGAGAAGAGGGACTGGAGGCAAATGGGACAGAGCATCACCCCTTGAAGCAGATAATAATATCACATGGCAGGTGAACTATTATCAACATCTCCAAGACCCTAGAGGGAGACCTCGGGCCAAGTTTAGTAAGATGGGTGCATGGGTGTGGAGGGAAAGAAGTGAATGAGGGAAGTGGCTCTGGTCTTGGCTTGAGCCTCCTGAATGAGAAGAATCCACGTGGGTGTCAGGGAACCAGAATGGAGAGCATCTCGGCAGCAGCCTTTACTAAGCAGTTCGGGCTTCCTCTTCTCTCTCTGTTCAGAGCATCCGGTCTAAGGTAGAGCTGTCGGTCTGGGATCAGCCTGAGGATCTTAACCTCTTCTTCACTGCCACCTGCCAGGACGGTGTATCCTACCCTGGTCAGAGGAAGTGCGAGGGCCTGAAGATTGGTGATACGGTAAGTTCACCCCCCACCAACACTTTATATGACACTTGTGCTAGCATTTGTCATCATTCTTAGGCTTCTCATAATTTTTGTGACTTATTAGGAATTTGTATTCTGTCTTCCAACTCAGCAGCCTGAGGGATTTTCCTAAGCCTGCTCTGTGTTGTGTCTTCGCAGTGCCCGATGGACTTGTTAAAAAGCCCCAGTCAATAGACAGCCCTCAGTGCACTGCCCTCTAAGCCTTCCTCGGGTTGACATTGTGCCCTTGGTGTTTTAAACCACTATTATCTTCACTTGACAGGGATGAAATCAGGTGGGAGAGTAGGGTCAGGAATCTGAGAGACCTGGCCTTCATCCATAGTGTTCTATAGCTTGCCTTGTGCCTTGGATAATCTGACCCTACTTTTCCCTTCTGTAAAAAATGAAGAAATTCAACTACTTCTTCTATTTGATGAGATGAAATGGGTAACTACAGCAATGGAGGGCATAGATGCCTTGTGTGGACTAAGTGGATATATTTAAATGATGAGGAGACAATTTTGCATGTAAAGATGTGTACCTGTGTGCCAAATGGATGGCTTGAGAGAGGAGGATATGTGAGTGATGAGAACCCTGGCACACGGGCAGGCAGAGGGGCGATGGAGGGCTAGCCACATTTTTTGGAGGTTTCTGCTCTAGAAGCAGATCATGAGATCCATTCCTTGCTTTGTCAACAGTTTCATTGCTCAGAAAATAGAAAGGCAGTGAGGGAAAGTTCTCTTCCACTAAAAGAATCTGGTTGGAACCAGAAAAATTATGGGGACCTTAACAATAACTGACTAAATCTTCTGAAAGCACTAATGATGGCCAAGGTGGATATAAACAGACTCAACCTGGACTCTAGGGAGACAGCTCAAAAAGATGTAGGTATAGATACACAACTGATTACACCTCAGTCTTCTGGGGTTTTCTCATATTCCATAATCGAGCCTCTTCTTCCTTCCCTTTTAAAACTGGTCTTTGCCCACTTTATGACACACAGGCATACATCTTACTCTTTCTAAATATTACTGTGGTGCTTTGGCCCACAAAGGACAATTCAAAATATGGTATTGATGTTGAAACAGTGAAGGACCCTAATGCCTAGGGTCTCTTTCTAAGACAGTTTTCCGCCAAATTTCTTTCCTTAAAAAAAAAAAAAAGTGAAAGAAGGCCTAATCAAGTTGTCAGATATAGCATGAAAAATGATTATGGCATTTAACTCAGAAAGCATTCATGGAATAAGATGATGTTTCTATAACAAAACTCCTTCTGTTCCCATCTTCCTATTTATGTGAATAAGTTTTTTTGGAGAGAGGGCTTTAATCTGTACAAATAAAAAATAGGAGTAGAATTGAGGCTGATCTTTGTCTTATGTAGTGATAAGTGGTGTTATTTTACTTATACATGAACTATGTGGGTGAGGAAAGCCTCATCTCATTAGAGGCACTTCCAATGAAGTTTTATTTTTAATACTCATCAAATTTTGTAAGACATTTATGTTGTTTTGATTAATTATAATGATTAATCCTGTTGATGTTTTAAAAGCACAGAGCTTCATAGTCACCGGGTTTAAAGAGATAGTTATGAAAAATAGAAAGAGGCAGAAATAACCAGGAAAAACAACATGTAAGTGAATTCTGCAGATCTGTACATAGAATGTTTGGTGCAGTGTGTCAGGAAAGCTAAAGGATGATGCGTGAAAAACACTCAGACAAGGAACCCTTTACTTGGAGAAGTAGATACAATAGAACAGAAGAAGAAAGAGGATGTGCAGAACATACACAGGATGCCGGGGTTCAGGAAAGCGCTTGATGATGTCTAATGACATCCTTACGAATAAGATAAATAATGTGGGTCAATGGCAGCGCAGTCAGGCATATTTGAGGTTCAGTAAACATACTTTCTGTGAGTGTGGAAGACTTGACCGAGGTTCCAACTGTCTCTTTTCTATTTACTACTGGATCGAGTTGAACTCATGGAAGACCTGCTTATCAAATATGGGAAGATCACAAAACTGGAGAAAACAGATTACTTTATAAAATAGGAAAACCAAGATTTAAAATATTATACATAATTGAGTTGGGTTGGAATCATCAGAATTGATTCCTCGCATTTCATTCAGAATATCAATAAGGTAGAGAGAACTTGGTTCCATAGTAGTTTTTCAGGAAATGATCTGGCAGCAACACTGTGAATAAAGTGTTGCTTAAAAAAGAAAAATTAGGCCAGTTGAAGCTGCATTAACAGAAGTGATTTGACATCCCGGAGATAATGGTTACATTCTTCTTTGTGTGGGTCAGACTGCATCCGGAGTTTTATGTTCAGTTCTTTTTTCAAAAGGACAAGTGACGAGCAAAGTATCATGATTTGTCTAGAAACCAGAAAGGTCAAAGGAACTGGTGTCTGTTGATAATAACAACTTAAAGTCAGAATTCTTTTTGGATACAAGAAACTGAAGCCAGTTTATGCCACCTTACGCAAAAAAGGTAAAACCATTTTAAGAATATCAGGATCCCTAACGAAAACCCAAGAGGAAAATTGCAGTTAGTTTTGGGAAGCCCCAGAAACAAACTAGACAGTGAGTTAGCTCTCTGTTCCCCACCTAGTTCCCTATGATGGAGATACTGTTATTCATGTTGACAGATGAGAAAAACCAAGACATAAAAAATTTAATGAATTGTCCAAGGCTCCACAGCCAGTAAGTAGCAAAGCAAAAGTTCAAAGTCAGGGCTTTCTGACTCTTATGCCAGCACCTTATATCACCTTTACCTGGCTTCTTGGTGCCTGTGATTCTGGTCTATCATACCTATTTCAAAGGGCTCGTCTCAGAGCAAAGGATAATAAAAATCAGGGGCCACCATGCAAGGGATGAAGTTTGTTGAGTGTCTTTATGCACCTTCCATATCCAGTTCGCACACCTGTGGCTCAGGTGGAGAACACAGCACTGCACTCATTTATGTCTAAGCTGAGATTTAGGGATGTGATGACCTACCCAAGATCACCCCGCTAACGAGTGGCGGACTTGAAACTCAGACCAAGATCTTTTTACTCCAAACTGCGTCATCTCACTAGTCACCGCCTCCCCATCATGGAGGGAATAACATGAGTTTCCATCTACTGGGGTTCATAATGCACCCAGTACATCCGTAGGGGGCTTCACTGCTACTTCCTCTACTTTCTGCAGCTGCGTGTAAGATAGACATTACTTCCCCAATTCATGTGAGAAAGACTGTGGCTCCAAGAGGGGCCTGAGAGGCTCGTTGGAAGTCCCACTGCTGGTGAGCCCCAAGCACCAAGGATCGAAACTGGAACTACTGGCACCAAGGTCCGTGCTTCTTCCCTCATACCTCCTGCACTTGGGAAGTGAAGCTTCAGAGAAGCCCGAGGTGATATTGTTGCCACTTAGGTGCAGGTAGACTTGCTTGTGTACAGGTTTTATTTTTTGCTGGGATACCTTGGGATAGAAAGACTTTGTCCAGAAGACAGAAAACAATTTTATGTGGCATTTTTCTGCAAAATTGAAAAATCTCCGATGTATTGGGATGATTCGTAGAGCATGTAAAACAGTAAAGAAAGAAGAACGTCACGTCTCCCACACACCCTCGACGTCTCTTCCATACAGTGAGCAAGGACTCCACCTCGCACCGGGAACCAAGGGGCCACGGCCTGTGGAGACAGTGGTGGACCCTAAAACAAGCGTCCCTGCTGGCTCCTTGTCTCCTCTCAACATTCAAGGGTTGTCTTCCTGTCCAAGGGTCTTGGTCACGTGGCCCTGAGCTGTGGGGCTTTTATTTTCTGTGGAGGAAGACAGGCTGGCACAGAGCAGCGGCCTCTCACCTGTCATAGTCAGACATGATGCTGCTCATAGGGCCAAGCCAGGCCACAAGAGGGAGCTCTTTGAGGCAGAGGTCCCCAACCCTGGGGGCCATGGACTGGTACCAGTCCGTAGGAACCGAGCCACACAGCAGGAGGTGAGCGGCGGGCAAGTGGAGCGAAGCTTCATCTGTATTTGCAGCCACTTCTCAGCACTAGCATCGCTGCCTCAGTTCTACCTCAGATCATCAGGCATTAGATTTTCATAAGAGCACCAGTCCCTGGTGCCAAGAAGGTTGGGGACCGTTGCTCTAAGGGCCCCAGAGGCAGTGGGAGGAAGAACCTGCTACATAATTTACACAACCCAGTGAAAATGTGTGGTCTTTGTTCAAGAAAATAAGAACTTGAAGATGATAACACCAGAGCATTAAACTAAGCATAGGGCCCTTCTGAGGGTGAGTCCTATGCGTCTGCATAACCACATGCCCACAGAGCTGGCCCTAGTGGGGGAATTGGGGGGCTTTCCCTCAACCCCCTTTTTGCTGAAGGAGATGTACATGTCCAGCTGGGACCAGTCTGCTATCTTAACTCTGAGCCAGGAAGGCAAACTTTCTGTTCTTCTTTTCAGGCTGAACTTTCTCTAGAGTTTAATTGGGCTTTGGCAAGCAGGCTTGCTACTGAGTATGTGGGTATTTCCCTCTTGATATTTGTCCCAAGGACAAATCTGGTGGAAGAGATAAACATGCAGACAAGTTCATGCCATGAGGGTGACAGGTGTGGTGATAAAAGCTGGGCATGGTGCTACAGGAACCCCAAGGAAGAGGGGCCCCACATCGCAGAGGGGAGCTGTTTGAGCTGAGGCTTAGACCATGAGTAGGAGTTTTTCAGACACAGAAAGGGAGGGTGGGCAGGTCCCGTTAGAGGGCATCGCATGTGCAGATCGGCAGGCGAGTCTGTGAGCCTGGGAAAGAACAGTGCCCTTTTCTAGGTGTGAAGCAGCTGAGGGGAGTGGGTTGGGGACTTGAAGGGCGGGTGGCTGGAGTGGGGCTGCAGAGGCAGGCTCGGGCCATCCTGGTAGGACATGTGCACAGAGCTAAGGTATCTGGCTACTGTTTGGCAAGAAGGTTCCATTCTTTAGTGCCACGAGTTGTGAGGGTTATGGACAAGTCAGGGAATAG